GCCCGAGTTCAAAGTTCACCTCTGCCAGGCACGGGGAGCAACCGTTTAACCTCTCTGCGCCTTGGTTCCCTCATCTGACAAGGCGGATTCGAGTCGGCCCTACCTTACAGAAAGTGATGCATGAAATATCCTACACTGATGAAAAGTGCTCAGAGCAGTGACTGGCCAAGTGTCACCTCACCATTTACAACTGTGACCATGACCACCACGTCCATCACCCACCGACATCATTATACTAGTCCTACTGCTGTTGTTTATAGACAGACAATTGCCACTGGGGCTTCTTGGAAGAATGGGTCACAGTGCATCCGGGAAGCTTCATACACCCCATGGTGGCATCAGGGGAGCTGGCACAGGAAGGTCCATTATGCACGAACAGGCTTTGTCTCCTCTGCTTGACCTGGGCTCTGCTGGACTCACCGCTCCTTGGTGTCAACGTCCCACTCCACGGCCAGTTTGATGTGCGGGGGGCCTCCTGGCCTCCTAAGATGCAGAGCCCTGATGAGAGAATAGGGGGCCCATCCAAGGCATGGAGGCAGCTTCCCACTCTCCCCACCCTCTCCACCCCCAGTACCGATGTTCCCAACAGAAATGTCCAGAGCTGCATGGAAACCGAGGTTGGGGGCCTGGGGAGGCGCTGTCTGTGGAAGGCTTGGTCCTTCATGTACTCTGAAGCCTCTGTCCTCCCTGCCCTGGGAGCTGGTGAGCTCTGAGGGTCTGGTGGCTGCCCGGCCATGGCTCAGCGCTCCCACTGCAGCCCCAGCCACCTGCTCAATGTCAATAGGTCTGTTCTGTTTGAACATCCTACACACACACTCAATTCTGATGATGCCCAAAATGAGCTGCTGGGTTTTCCTCCACTGTGAAGTGAAAGGAGCACCTTCGAGCCCACCTCTACGACCTAAAAGGTCTTCCCCTTCCAGAGCTGTCCAGACCCAGAAAATCTCATCAGCCCATCGCTCTTTCCAGCTGTTTTCACTCAGCCCATTTCAGAAGAAACTGGCTGGCCTTAATGCAGAAGAAAGTGGAAGACATGAAATCAACAAGACACATATAGACAAGCAATGGGAGGGGCTGCCCCTTAAAAGAAGGTTTTGAATGTATTGTAAGAAAAAAGTGGAGATGTCACAAGAGTCCCCAGCTGTCACCAAGTTGGTTAAGACTCTGCTTCCAATGCAGAGGGCATACGGTTACATCCCTAGTCAGGGAACTAAGATCCTGCATGCCGTATAGCATGGCCAAAACATAAAAATAACTAAAATAAAATAAAATTGAAACTATTTTTAAAAAAAAACAAAAAAACAAAACAAAACCCCAGGGTTTGAGTTCATGGAAGGTATACAATCCTTAACTAGCCATGTGAGTGTGAATACGTCCTCATCTTTGGGAATCCCAGTGTCCCCTCCATCTCTGAAGCGGCCATCAGTCCTGCTTAGACGTAAGGACTGGAAGTACAGAATGTATACAAGGACCTAACCCAGTCGCTAGTGCTGAAGACCAAGAGCAGCTGATTGTCATCAGTTTTACTGATACACAGCCTTGAAGGAGTCTAGTCAGACAAGAATGTGTTCATTCTCTTACCATGTCTGGAAGAGACATCCCCTTACCATCCCCTTACCTGTCAACTGCCCAGTGACAGAGGGGCCGACTGTCCTGTGGGGACAAGTAGCTGCAGGCCAGGGAGAGTCCCACGACCCGGATGGAGAATAGTGACCCCAGGTTCTGCCAAGCCAAGAACAGGAAGCAGGTCAATGTGCATGTTGGTGTGAATCAGATGGTTATGTGCAAAGAAGTTACTCAAAAAATGCAACTTTCTGATTAAAGGGTATTTTGAATATGTCCTTAAATAATTGTTTTCTAAATCTGGAGATATAAAGGCTTTAGTTTTTCTAGAAGATATACCCTATACCTTTTAACACAGTAATCTAACACCATGTAACATTAAATTTTCTGAAACAGTGAACATAGTGATTTAAAATAATATTTTAAAAAACAAAATAACACATGGTTAATTGAAGCAAATGTTGGCACAAGAAATGGGAAATTAAATCAATTCTGTTCATCAATTATTAATAGGCAATTTATCAAGATGATTATCATCGTCACCAGATTACCAAAGTGAGGCAATTATCTAAAAGCAAGCTAGTGTACATTTTACTTATCAAATGCTAAGTATTTGTACACATTGAAATAAGCCACATAAAAAAAAGTCACCCATGTTTTTATTCTAAGATGTACATTTTTTTCATATTCTAACTGTTCTGAACTGAAGCGAACCTTGAAAGTAAAAAGTGAAAGTGGAAGTCGCTCAGTCGTATCCAAATCTTTGCAACCCCATGGAATTCTCCATGGAACCCCATGGAATTCTCCAGGCCAGAATACTGGAGTGGGTAGCCTTTCCCTTCTCCAGGAGATCTTCCCAATCCAGGGATGGAACCCAGGTCTCCCACAT